AGTATAGAGAACGCAATTCCCCCCTTGCCTTTGCCGCTTGCTCTCATTTCGTGCACTTCTCTCTCCTCCAAAAGTGGGCAGAGAAAGCCAAGGCACCCACTGCGCACCTGCAGTCAGTTACAAACTTTCTCTTCCTGCACCCCAGGAGTTTTTCGGACAGCAATTCCTTCACAGTAGGTGTTATCTCCTTGTGTCCCTTTTTCAGTGATTAGTCAAAAGTTAAATTGCACAAGGGCCAAAGGAGCAAATGGTGCTAAATTTTACACTTGTTTTATGACCTTTAAGATAGAAATCACATTCCTCTTATGCCTAACCCAAGGAAACCGAGAGGCAAGCAGTGCAGCTCACGCAGTGGCCGTAAGAGGGTGCCTGTAGCCCTGCACAAGCGCAGGGGTGAGCTGCAAAACCACACGCTTTCTGCCTGATCACAGGCCTGCCTGCATGGCACTCGGCAATGCCCACACAAACGGAGCCAGATTAAACAGCCAGACACACCACAAGCTCCAAGGCTGCCCAGGGAGCGCTGCTGCAAAGCTCTCCATTTCCATAAGGATTCACTATAACCCACGTGGAGGCAATCCTGCGCCACGTGCTCTAGGTGACCCTGCGTGTGCAGGGGGATGGGACTAGATGATCTCTAGAGGCCCTTTCCAACCTTAAGGACTCTATGATTCTATAAAATGTGGTTTCTGAAACTGCTGCAGAGCTCCCAGGTGGGCAAGACATTTGGCCCAGTCTTGCTGGCACGAGGGCATACAGATGTACGAGTTGCTTGAGAACGAAGGTACCACAGAACAAAGAGTCGCTTGAGAATGAATTGCTCCATAAATACATTGTGCAACGTAAATACATTGCACCCCAGCAAGAAGCAAGGCAGTGGCTACGTGGGCAGTGTGAAGGACCTGGGGAGCAAGGTCCTGCAGGGTGCAGAGCCCTCGGGACGGGCCAGGCTGCAGGGGCTGCCGGAGACGCGCAGGTCAGCAGGCCGGGCTCAGAAACACGCTCTGCTTAAAGGTCAGCCTTGCAAAGCACTCCAGAGGCCGCACGTTTACGCGGCCTGCCTGACATTTGCTGCCCTCCCAGAGCAAGGGGAGAGGACTCTGCATGGGTTACTCCGAGCAGAGCAATCCCAAGGGCTGCTGCCAGGCTGGAGAGMGGAGAAGGCAGGACGTGGGCCGTGGGGAAGGAGGTTCTCCCCTGCCTTCAGCCCCTCTCCTGCTCCTGTTTAGGGACCTCAGGGGAATGAGGCAGGGACTGCTGAGGAACAAGGCCACAAAGTGCATCAAATGCATCAATAGGCAGGGATTTCTTGGAGATGCTCCCTGTCCCTGGATCCTCAAAGAACACAGCAGCTCGCACCAAAAAAACAATAATTAGAAGAGAAAGAAACTCAGCCTCGTGGAGGGGAGGGATGTGCCAGGGCAAATGAGGCGGGCGAAGGAGCAAGTGGCTGTGGCCTGGGAGAGCCAAACTGCTGCCTCTCACCTGCATACGGAGGAAGGCAGCAGGCTGGTAACCGCAGGGTGATGCCGTGATGGGAAGTGTCTGCACGGAAAGGAGGAACACATGCAAATCTCTCCTCACAAACCTATCAGGACACGCAAGGGCAGCCTGCTCTGCAGGCCCAGGGATAAGAAGCAGGCACAGTGCAATAGCAGGAAAAGGAAGTGGAGAGCTTGGATAGTCCCTGTCCTAAGGCAGACAGCTCTCTCCAAACCATTCCTGTCAGACGTTTTCCCAGGAGAGATTCCACGGCCTCCTCAGGCAACCTGCTTCTTCCATTAGCCTCGTGCTTCCAAAATACTTCCTCATGCCTAACCTAAACCTCAAATGCTGCAATTCTAATTCTCACCCTAACCCCAGTGGACCACAGAACAATTTGTTGTCTCACTCCCTGCAGCACCTTTGCAGACTGCCAGCACATTTCCCTGCCTCTGAGCTAAGCAAAGTCTGACCTCTTGGGGCTGCTTTTCTTGACCTCTGGTCATGCTTGTTGCCTAGTGCTGGATTCCTCCCCAGGCAGACACGTGTTCTGAGGAGCTGTAGCCCCAAACAGGCACATCTTCCTTTGGAGACTTAAGCTTCTAGGTTTCCTTTATTTACCCTATTCAAAAAATCTCCAAGTGACATTAGTTTTCTTCTAGACCACTGTATTGTTGTGCTAACTGATTGTTGTGCCAACAATCTTTGTGGTCCATGCCAATCCTTGGACCTCCATCTGCAGATTTGCTACTCAGTATATTATTCTGCAGCTTATATGATGATTATAAATATACCTATTCACATTCTATCATTCGTGTCTAAGCATCCTTTCTTGCACTTGTATCTGACATCCCATAACTGCAAAGCCCCTTAGTTCATCCTGCTTGAGCTAAAGTTTCTTATCACAGGGCTTAAAATTCTCAAGAGACACTAAGACAGGACACTGTAACTGCTGCCTTAATGCACTTAACTGACATAAGCCAATTATCTTGATGGACAAGAAGCTAGGCCAGTGCAAAAGCAGTCTCCAGGTGCTGCTGTGTGTGCAACTGTCCTCTAAAACTCCCCATAACATGACCACAGGGCACACAGCATGGGAATGCTGATGGCGCGCTCAGCGCACACATGTACTTACTCCAGATCACTAAACAAGTGAAGGCCTCTAAGCCCATGGTGACTTCAGCTTTGCAGAACGAGGAACAGGCAGAAGAGCCATTGGGAACAGGTTTGTTACAAACTAGGCAAGGAAAACAAGAAGCCAGGTTACATGTGAGCAGCATGAACACGTGGGCAGCTGCCCAGGGCAGATCTCAGCCAGGCACAAGAGAATTTAAATACTTGGTTTCCTTGGATAATTGAGGAAAAGCCTAACAGCAGCCAAGCCAGGAAACCAAACTTTCTAGGGCAGAAAGCAGTATTTCTAACAGAAGCAGTTTGTCCTGAAGCAGTAAAACAAAACCAGGCTAGCACTTAACATGCAAAGCACTGCCTGGCATTCACAACACCTACAAGCAACACTTTACAGCACTTTGAAAWCTTTTTACATGAGCAGGAAACAGGGACAGAGTAAATTTGTCAAGCATGCAATAGAAAGCATCATGCAGTAGCTGACAGTCCTAGTGAAACAGCATAGTACCAGCTGCATGATCAGGTTTAGATTTACAGCTTTAATGTGTTATTTTTGTGCATTTTTGATTTAAGTTACTACACAGACACAGTTCTATTCAGACAGGCAATGACTAGAACATTTTAATTTTCATTCATGTAATTGAGGAGGCAGATTCACTAACAATGTGGGAATGCCTTAACGCAAACCTGGCACAGCAGACCAAAACAAACAGGTAAACTACATCGGATGCCAACTGAACACAGCAAAAACAAAGTCTATTTTTGTTACTTGAATATGTGCAGACTTATAAGTAGAATAAACATTTCTTAACCATATAACCACAAATTGAGTTGTTGCTCAGTCAAATACCAGTTCGTTATGTACTACCCATTAACCATTTCAGAGGGAGACAAGAGACTCACTCCAGCATCCTTACCTTTCGCCTTGTAAAACTAATGATCATAAACTGCAGCTCTTGTGAAGGCCATTTACTCAGGTCTCAAGACATGAGATTTAAAAGCATTAAAGTAGTCGCTTCTTACACCTTGTGACCAGAAATGTGCTTTTTCCTGCATTGCTTTGCCACAGGTGGCAGGCAGGCCAAGGTTCGATGATGGAATACATCCGGATATGGCACCTCTTGGTTATCAAAAGCCATCAGAAAAGCTATGTCCAAAAGCCTACAGCCAAAATGTACTTCTATTTACCTGTGTTCTTTAGTTCTTGTTTACAACTTTACCTCGTTCCTACTATTCCTATACACCAGTTCCCATCACACCCACTTAGATGTGCGTGATCACTCCTCTACAGATAGAACAGCCCTTCAGGTCACTTCAGGTACTCAGAAAGGCAGTGCAGCCACTTCCTGAGGTTTCTCCATACAAGGTAACCACGTATTTCTCCAGGATCTGGCTGTCAGGAACTGAAAACTGCACAAGAATTCCAGCATCCAGGCAAACCCAGGGCTCTGGAAACAAGTCACCATGTGCTCCCCGGCCCAGGTATAAAATTTCTTGCAGGTGAAGRGCGTTAGTTGAGTCCTCCCTAGGCAGGGCAGGCAACCTCCAGTTACTTGACATTTATCACAAGGAAGCAGGCATTTCACGGGCTCTTGCTCAACTGCACTGTAGTAGCTACCAGGGAAGTAGGAGTTACACAGAAAAGAAACATGAAGCAAGAATGCTCTAAGCCTTCAGCAAGTGGAAAGTAGACACACACAAAATTAAGTCTATTGTACTGTCTACTGTCTATTGTACTACAAGAAGAGACACAGAGAACTTGCATCAGGAGATGAGGAATAAGGCTGCTGTAATCTTTGCTTGTAAAAGTCTAAAATTTTGTCCCCAGCTGTGGCCACTCCGCAGCTTTCTAAAATTGAGAATTATTAAAGTGAAACATCTCACTTCACACCCTGCCTTGACTCTTAGGCCACATCTCTATCTATCCCATTCTCCCGCCTCCTTCCCAGGGACTTTTTTTACTCTAGAGCCCTCCGAATGAGCCCAATCCGAACCCCTTGGGACGAAACCCCGGCGCGGGCRGCGCTCCAGGGTGCCTACCAGCAAGGCCACACGCTTGCAGGTGGCACCAGCGGCCCGCACTTACCTGCAAGAAAGCAGAGTCCCCTCCAGAAACCAAAATTAACAAGGAAAGCTGATCAATCCAATCACAGCACAGCCTAGTAAGTTATTCAATTTAATTCAGCATAGCTTGGCTTAACCTTTCCTTCTCCCCCGCTCCCGTTTTTCTGCTTTTCCTCCTTGTTTTTCCACTTTTCCTCCTTGTTTTTCCACTTTTTTTTTTTTTTTTCCTCTCTGTTTTTCCTCGTTTTCCCCCGCTTTCCCTCCCCTGCGCCCCACGCAGCGCGGCGGGCCGCGGCCGGCCCCTCCGCGGCGGCGGCGCCACGTACCCCGTTGGCGGCGGCGATGCGCACGATGAGGCGCACGGCGTCCTTCATGTAGAAGCGGCCGTCGCCGCCGACGACGAGCGTGGCGGCCTGGCGCTCGGCCGGCTCCACGGTGGCCAGGATGCTCTGGATGAAGTTCTCGGCGTAGTGCTCATGGCTCTGGAAGACGCTGACCCGCTTGCGCAGCCCGCTCGTGCCGGGTTTCTGGTCGCTGTAGGGCCGCGTCTTCACCGTCACGATCTGCACCATGGCCGGGCCGYGAGTTCCGCGCTGCGGAGGGCGCCGCGGCGGCTGCTCCTGCTGCGGCCGGGGCCGCGGGGCGGGCGGGGGAGCCCCGCGCCGCGCCGCCCCTTAAAGGCGCCGCGGCGGCACCGCCGTTCCCGCTGCSCGGGGCGCTCCTGCGGGGAAGGAAAACACACGAACAAATCAAAACAAATCAAAACGAGCGAAATAAACAGCAACCGCCAAGTAGCGGAGGGATTGGCTTTTTTTTTCACTCGCTGGAACRGTGGAAAGATAAACACAAGGTATGTGGGAAGGATCTAAGGGCTGTAATGGCAGTAGTTGGTCTGAGTCACTGCTGCTTTTGGCATTGCACAGCTCTGAATCTCAGGTTTATTTATTTATTTTTACWTGTTTATTTCTGAAGGGGTTYTGTTAAGGCCCTCACACGGGTGGGGCCTTAGGTTAGGCCTCAGGAATGGATGGCAGGACCAGGAGCCTCCTTGAGCACTCAAGGGCAGCGAAATGGAGCCTTTTCCGAGGYCATGGTTCACAGCTAAGGTCTGCTCTCTGTTTTAACCTTTCTTTTCCTTAAAAAATACCCTGACATGTCTCCCAAGGCGGATTTTGTAACCAAAAGGAAGTAGAAATAATGGAGTGTTCAATCCCTATATGCTCCTGGACATGTCTTCTTATTTCCCAGCTCTTTCTTAGAGATGAAACCAGGAAACCGGGATACAGCCTCCCAGCAGGAATGTCGCCCCGAGGCAGTGTTTCCTGGTTACGCTGTGGTTTGCAAATGCGTTAACTTTTCAGCTAGAAATTACCAAATACTTGTGGACTTGGCTAATACACAGTTTCATCTTTTTTTATTTAGAAAATTCTGTGGAAAAAAAAAAAAAAAAAAAGACAGCAAAAATCCCCCAAATCAGTATTATCTGCTGCCCTGGCTAGGGAAAAAGCAGCAGGTCACCAGGTGGAGCCACCTGGGCTTGGGTTCCTGCACTGTAAATCACTGCCGGCCTCTGGCCACGCTCTCATTTTCTAGGTGACATTTACTTGCCCAGTATTGGGTTACAGCTCTGTAACAGTGGAGGCCAGGGGGGCTGCTGGCAGATAAATATAGCTTGTCAAGACTACGTGCTACCCTCGCTGTCTATTTTAAACGCAGGCGCTTTTTAAGCATCCGCTGACCAGGGTCATCATTTTTTATGGTAAGAGACATTTAGAGGAACGGGAAAAACGTAACAGGTTGAGTACTCCAATCTCTTCTTCGTTTCTATTGCAGTTTGTGCTGGGTGGGCTTCAACTCCCTTATTGCAGCTGCTCTGGAAACAGTTTATTTCGGTTAATAGTCAAGAGTACCCCCCAAAAGCTTTCATCTTCCCCCAACACTGTTATTTCCCTATCACACTTGAAAGCCCAGACTTTATCTTACACAAAGGCTTTTAAAATAGTGGTTAATTGTTCAGAACAATGCAAAACGAGCATCTATAATCTTTTTTTTTAAGTGCATTCAGAAAAAAATCCTTACTAAGCAATAAAATCAAGAACTTGCCTCTCTATATTCCCCAGGTCAGAACCACAGAAATRCTAAGCTAGTAATCCATCAGATCCATTTGAGAAAACAAATTTATTCTCAGTGTTAATTTTTAAATACTTGTAGTCTAATTTTTACAGATTTAAATACATATCATGAAGTCAAACCAGTTTAGTGTAAGACAAGTTCAATTTCTGATTATAGTGATGAAAAGACATTTTATAATGTAATAATATAAGACAAATAAATTTATTTTTCCAGAGCTTGCTTCAAGATCAGTTTTACTCCTACTCAGAAGACAGGGATGTTTTCAATAATTCCATGAGCATTACTCTAGAAACAAATACTAAGAGAGTGAAGTAAYTGGTGTCCCTGCCTTTTGGCAGCAATAATTTAGCTTTTACCCAAGTACTGCAGTTTTCCTTTTTAATGACATATTCAGCCATATTTACAACATAGAATTTTCTCCATGGACACTCAGCAAGTCCAGAACACCCGCCTCTCTCACCCCAAATACATAAAGTCTTAAAATTTTAAACTCTTAACATTTTAAAGTCATACAGACAATAGTCATTAAAAATTTCCAGTGATTATGATTTTTCTCTGTGATGACAATGTTAACTGTTGGCATGTCAAAACATGCAGGAAAGCAAGGACTAGTCCTTCAAACTTCTATCATCTTGATTACAGAAACACAACCCAAAAGGTTAAGGCTCAGATGTCAAAGAAGTATTTGATTGAATGCCACATGGTAGAAAAATAAAAGAAAAAGAAAAAAAGAAGATATAATGAAGGCAATAATGTGAAACAGATAATGAAAGCTGACCCAGAAGAGGATGAGGCGGAACGAGAGAAGTATGTTGGGAAAATCACAACTATTTCCCCTGAAGGGTGGAAAATAGGAAGCAACACAACACTAAGTGCTGGTCAGACTGCTGAGAAGAGAAAGCACTAAAGAAAGATAACTGGATATCTGATAAATTAAAAGTAATGTTGGTTGCAAATTTTGGGACATATTGGGAAGGAAAGCAGTGGGAACTCCTGTGGCAGTAACAGAGTTTAGGGGATAAGTCTTTACACTGTGGAAAAAAATAAAAAAAGTTTTGACAAAAGCCTTATATAAATGAAAAAAAAATAAAACAGCTAAAATTGCATATGCACTACTTCAGTTAATGACAGGTCTAAAACAGAGCTAGGACATTCCAGGAGATGCAACTTGCTCTCCAGTCAGCTTCAAGGTTAAGTAGGAAGGAGAACTGCCAGGAGAGTGGAGACACCATCATCTGCAGAACTTCACGTGCAAATACCTGACCAGCTAAAGCTCTGCAGGAGAATGGARGTTGAAGGCTTATTTGGAAGATATTCAAAATGTGATTCATCTCATATGAAACAAGTACATGTATACATTTGTTTGTCATGCATCCAGGGAATTAGTCCTCCCACATCTTTTTGCAGGTTTATGTTTTCATGATTTCTTCGATAGGCTAAAGGGAAATAAATTTTCCCTAGCTGTTGGTAGCTGTTGGTAAGTGAAAGCTTTGACATTTTTAATTCTCTTAAGCTGTTAAGATAGCTGAACTTGCAGTTTCCTACAAGCTATTAGCAGAATTGTGATATCAGAAATAAATAAGTAGATAGGTGATTTCCTAGCTTTAACAAATAAAACTCTTGGAGTGAAATATCATTTTGTGCCATGTTTTGAGAAAAAGAAATGCTGGTTTCGTTTGAAGGCTACCAAAATACAGCTTTCTAACTTGAGCATTTAACGTAAGAGGGAATGCACACAATTATAAAACCATTCTTCCTGTTCATTCAGCGGCATCACATGTTGAGAAACCTGAATAAAAGAGAGAAAATGTTAGCGAAATAGTTTATTGGATGTTACTTTAAGTACTATTTAGGTAAAATTAATTATGTCAGTACTTTTAGCAGTAAAATAAAAATGAACATTCAGCATCTATGATGACAACTAGCATTCAATACTTAGTATTAAATTTAACTGTGTTATAGCAAAAAAATCTGTAAGAGACCCTGAGCTTACAATTCATASTGAATGAAGAAGAAATTAAAATTAACAAAACACTTTATGGCATTTGACTTTAGTTATCTAAAGTATTGGCAGCAATATTAGAATAGGACCCAGTCCTGCCAGTCTCACAGGACTGTATCTGTTCACAGTGAATCTGAGTGAATCCACCTCAGGGCAGTAGTTTTGAAACCTATGAAGTTCAAAATACTTTGTATGTATTTGGTTTTTTTTAAGGCAGAGATCTTAGTTTTAGAATAATAAAAAATGAATTTTCTTCATAAATGAAGCATATCATCTGCATTTGTAAGACAATTTCAATGCATTTTTTAACCATAGAACCTCATTTAGAGCTCTCACTAAAACCTGTCCAACTCTACAATGGGGATCTGGATATTAAACTGCCTCACGGCTAAACTTGCTCCCTAACTCAGGTTTCAAAAAAATTGCTCTCTGTGAACCACACTTTGCATAAGCAGTTCAACATACATATTCTTGTTCATGACTAGCACATACTTGGTCTGTTCCTCACAGCCATCTGTTCATCAGGTTAAAACTTAATTTAAAGAAAATTTAGAAAAGAAAATATTTCAGTACATCAAGATGTATGTCTTAACTGTACAGGTGACGAAGATAGACTTCTCCACTTTCCACATTCTCATTTATTATGATAAAAGACTTGTAAAAGAGAAGTGTAAAAATGTCACTTTTTTTTTTTTTTTTTTTTGCTTAGATTTCAGATTACTTACAAAATAAATATCTTACCATCATGGATTTTGGTGCCACTTCAATAGCAAAAACAGTGAGTCCTCTATTACTTAAACAGTTTTTACTGTGCTCATTATTGACATGAATAATCACTTTGTTTTCAGACTGCAGGTGAAAAAAAACATGGGGAGCCCATTAGTCTTAATGGCTCCTAAACTGTTTCTTTTGGGCACAAACAGGCATACAGTACTCGGTTCTACTTATTTTCTGAAAAACTGGAGGCTCTATGTACAGTCTTACAATCTCCCAGCTCTCACCCTCACCTGGGAGGGACAGACACCTTTACCTACCTACTGACTAAATATATGCACAAGAACAGACTAGAACCTCTCTGCAACTAGTGCATTTCCTTAGATTTATTACAGAATTAACCAAGAAAGTTATTTCCATTGAAGTCTTCTGCACAAGAACTGATGCTTCTTCTTGTGCTTGCAGCAAGCTAGATGCACCATTGGAAGCTTAGAGGAAGAGAGATGCATAAACTTGCCTTTTTATTAGACATTTACCATACAAAAAGATCACCAGCCTAAAAATTCTGATAGAATTTTCAGGAAAGGGCAACTATTTGCCTCACTAGAGGGCAGAGCTATTTACGAAGCTGAAGTAGTATCAATGGCAGTGGTCAGGGATTTTAATCAGATAGCACCCAGTTGTCTGTACAGAGCCCGTCTCCTTCTCTGACATATACCCAAACATATAAATAACTCTAATGCATCTCCCCTAAAGGGCGAAGTGCAGATCTAAAGCTATGGTTCCAAGGGGCCTCGGCATTCAGACCTAATATTAGTTCACCAATCCACCCATTTTGCATGTTTGTTCATTTAAAAATACACTTCTTGTAGTGCGCCTGTAAGGTTTCAACATCTTCAGTTTAGCATCTTACGGAGCTGTATTCATTTAGTGTTCCTACATAAATGAAACTGAGAATGAACAGAAYGTTCATTAGGATTAGGCAAAAAGGTTTAAAATCTTCAATGGTGTCTAATTAACCAACTTTGCTTGGATTTGCATTCATTATCTTGGATTAATAATTATGTAGACCTGTAAGACTAGCAGTTTAACGTATTACCCATCTAAAACACAGTCTGTGCACACAGTGTTTTTTAACTTTCCTATAAACACTGAAAATACTGTATAGTAAAATATTTTTTATCTTTCTCTAATTTTATTTCCTGTTTTAGTAGTTATGTTCTTACAAATATATTATGTTTATAATTATTATATTCCAATTTTTCACCATTTTGATAAAGGCAAACAAACATTTAACTTCTACATGCTATTAAAAATTTCTGCTTCCTTATAATAAACTCTTCCAAGAAAACTGATCCAGTCTCTTTTGAAGTCTATGGTTTTTATTTTCAATGAATTGTGATTTTTTTTTTTCTAAATAATCTAGATAAAGAAACTTGGTACATAATGCTCAAAAGTGAAAGAAGAAGAGCATAACAATTACAAATATTAACATGAAATATGTTTGAGAAATATGATCTAATACCTTATTTTCAATAACACAAGTGATTCGTGTGTCCGTTTTGTAGGTATAAACAATTACATTTTCACAACCATCCATTACTTTGGCCTCTCCTTTATTGACAACAGACTTGCAAATGGCTCTGTTGAGTTGCCAGCCACCTGCCTCTAGGAATATGGCTTTAATCCTGGGTTTGCATTTTTCTGCATAGATATCAATGACAAAGGGGCATGCCTGCAACAGAGAAAACAAAACTTTGTTATCACTGCTTTTTTTCCTGGTTCTTCTACGCGGGTTTTTATCCCCAGGTCCTAAATATTCTGATAGATGCTTTGGAAGAGAATTATCCAAGTGTATGTCACTGAATATTAAATATTCAAAAACTGAGAGCTGTGGCTATTTTAAAAAACAAATCACAGATCAAGACAAATCAGTCACAGGATGCTTGATGTGCAGTTATATGCATTCCACTCTAACATAAGAAAACCTCTCTTGGATGAGAAAATGTACAGGAATTAGGGTGAAATATGAATGTATTTCAGCATCTGATATAAACCTGTCTCCTTCACTTGCCAARTTCCTGCTAATTGTGCCTCTTCACAAAGATTTAAGACACCTACAGTCTTACATTCAGACATCAAGTCTGAATCTTTGAAATCCAGGAATTAAAAAGTTGTTATATTCATAAGTTAAGAAGATATGAATTTTAGATTAATGATGAAAGCACATAAAGAAGCTGTATTTGTCTTTGGAAACAAAGACTATAGCCATAAACCAAAGCTGCTATAAGGCAGAAAATACCTGTAAGCGATTTGTACAGGATGTAATAAAAACCTCACCAAAACCTTCTTTCTTAGAGGATAGCTCCCTCTTACGTCTGAAATGGAGAAAGCYAGTTCTATAGCTGCTCAGCTAACCATACTCGTCGGAAATGGAAAGCACTTTTCATTAAGGAATTGTTTGCCATAATCGAGATTTTCCCTGAGGGCAGCTGAAGTCTGCCCCTCGACTTACCAAGGATATTGGGGTCTGTATATATTTGTTGTGGACACATATCTTTTAATATGGTGATGACACAACTACATGGTCCCAAATTGCTTTAGTTAAAGAATAAAATAATAAAATCAGACTGATAAATAACATCAATAAATCAGTTGTTCTTGGAAATAAATTTAAATATTTTTTCTGCATATTTAACAAATAGAATTTTTAATCTAAAAAAGAGTTTTTATTAATTTTACTTTTTTTTTTTTTCTCTCTCTCTTAAAAATATCCTTTGGAAATTCTGTGATTGGATTCTTCAAACCAATGCCATGAGAACCACTACCACCAACACTGATACTATTTCTGTAAAAAGGAATACTGTACACACACAGAAGCATCAGAGAAATAACCTCTGTTACCTACAGAATAAACACTTTGAAACCTAAAATTCACTCATTAAAATTTGATCTTGAAAATGTTCATGAGGATCAACAGTTACAGAAATAGCCACGTCTGAAAATGATGAACTTTCTTTGCATTATGTGATATTTGTCATACCCATGATCATGAGTTTCCTTTGTGGCATGGGTCACAAAAACAATTTTTTTAAACAAACTTGGACAGAGCATGTTCTGCATTTTGCAGGTTTGCCGACAGGTCACAGTTTACCATCACTACTTCTTATCACCTCTCATCTACAACGCACATACCTGCAGTTAACCTAAGATTCTAATCTAACCTAATATTTACAACCTAATATTTACAACCCCGCAAAATATTGGCTTTCTTTATAAGGCAAAAGTCAAATTCTCTCTCTGAAAAATAATACTGTTAGCCTAAGAAATGAAATGTCAGGCCTGACAGTCATATGTATTAGCAGTATTTGAACTGGGTCATTGGCCCACAGAAATCAATTTATGAAAGACAGAAACAATGCTGCAATTAAACAGGGGCAGCAAGCTATATGTGAAGCAGTTATTTTTGCTATACAGCTTTCATACCTCTATCATTTCTAATGCTTTATTGTAGCCAAGGGACAATAAAGTGACCCAAAGGTCAGYAGGATCCCCTTCACGGTCATTGGCTTCCATGAGATTCAGATCCATAAATCCCTGTCTTGTTAGTTCATTCTTCTTCATGTCAAAATTCTCTGTTTAAAAAGAAATGTAAAATAGCACTTAAGCATCTATTCTCTTTGCAAACCCCCTTTATCCACCCTAAGCCAAACTCCTTTTATGGCAATGAGGTTTATGAGATGGGGCCACCTTCCAGCCTCAACCTCTCCAAACTCCAAGTGGTAAAGAGTGACCTTGAGAATCGACATGCTCTTTCCTGTGGATTTTAGAGAATGATCAGAGATTGCTTCTCCCCAGCAACACCAAAAAGTGGGCAAAGTTGTTTTTTTGTTGTTGTTCTTTTTTATTTCCACTAGTAGTATCTGCTGTAGTTGAGATCTAGGAAATGGGGAACATTAGGAAGAAGAAATGAAAGTCTGGTGGGGGACAGCACCCTTAGTGCTTGGATCTTTTATACAGAAATGATTTACTTAGTTCCTAAAAAGAAATAAAGTGCCAATAATCTTAACACCTTTCTCTTGATAGAATATGGCAGATGGAGCACATCAATGTCAGCAAAAACATAATTGAAATGTTCCTGTGTCAGAGATTTTTAAAAATGGTTTTCTCATCTTCATAACAATGCTAAATCTTTACTATATATTATTAAAAAGAGATTACCAATTTAATAAATCTATCTAATGGTACTATGCTATTATAAATGGCTTGAACTCTCATGTCCAGATTTATGATATTTATCTCAACCCTTTGACTGATTAATGACCTGGCAATAGATTAACCATATTCTTTTCTTTCCTCTCTTGCACACTTCACACATACACACACACACACACCCTTCCTACTCTTATTGTCACTAGAGCACAGTCATACATAGATTATATATAAAGTGTAGAACAGCATGTAAAAGGATGAAAAAAGAGAAGAGAAACTGATTTACAGGAAAGTACTTCTTGTATAATTTTTCCATTATTCAGCAAAATCTCCAGTGTCTTACAGTGTCTTACAGTGTTCCGGGGAGAAATATTTGACAAGACTTAAAAATTTTCAAGTATTTTGGCCTCAATTAAGCAATGTATCATAGCCTATGAAAGAATTACAGTTAACAGATAACACAGGCTGATCTATGATGATATGCCGTATTGACACTTCAGACATGGGCTGCAGAAAAGATGTTTAATATAGAAACAGCTAGTTTTCATACAAGGGCTTCCAAATTTCCATTCTAACCACTGACTCCAGCTAAACTGCCAATGCTTGGAAACCACAGCTTCCATGCATTGTATTCTCTCCACAAGTAGCACATAAGGCTACTTGTGGTGGCGTTATGAGACAACTACGTGTATTCAAGGCCTTTGCAGGGTTAAAGCAAAGCCACGGAATTCTTTTCTTTCTCCAAAATTGATGTTTGGGGCCCAACACTGCTCCTGCAGACGGGCAGGATGTCTGGTGGTGTATGAGAGACACATACCTGCAGACTGAAAAAGTACAGCTGAAAGGYTCCTATCTGTCACAGCTTCCTGATCTCACTCACAGAAGTCTCMGAACCTCATAGCTTCATAAAGGGCAATTTGGGTAAACTGATGCACTGGATATGAACCTTCAAAAGGTAGATTTCTAATGAAAAGAAAATGCTTAAATCTGGAGAAATATGGTTGCAATATACTTTCTATAGTCTAATACTTTCTAAGATCTAATCTAGGCAATTTTAAGGAGCCCTAGGTGCGCTTGTTTTAAAGTTTCATAGACACACTGGTCCCTCTCAATACCCTGTGAAATATGAAAGCAGTTTCATCTGAATCTGCAGAAAAAAAAAAGATTTCATGAAAAACTGTTAGAATTGAATTCACTATACGATCCATGATTAGAAAGCTACAGTTGTGTCTTTCTCCTACAAAATTTTTAAAACTTTGCAATTAACAATAAGAACTTTTGCAACAGAAGATCAGTGGCATGCAAACCAGAAGGAAGCAAAAGAAAAAAGAAGGGATTGGAAAAGGATAAAACACAAACACAGAACATGGAAAAGAGGACGGTAATGACAAGTTCTTGGTATAGTCTACGATATACTCAGTGTTTCTATGCTGCATACATTGTATAGTGCTATAAAAAATACTTGCAATTCATTTTATAGTCCTAGTCAGCTGGATCAAGCAGAGAAAAAAACAAACAAAACAACATTAACAACAAAAAAAACCCCTTACCCTTACATACAGCCCAGGCTTCCTCATCACATTTCTCTCCACTAGTCCTCAGTTCAAAGAAATTGTATTCTTCTAAACTCAGAAGGCCATTCCCATCCAAATCAATGGTTTCAAATACTTCCAATAAAGCCGCTCTAAAAGACGAAAAAAGGAAATCAATTTCTAAATAAGTCTATTTCTTCTATTGTCTCGCAGTACCATTGATAATTATTCAGTGTATTAGCATTCTGTACAAAAGCTAGTTTAGAAACACATCGCTCCGGGCAATGTTACTCAGAGCACATACTTTTTTAAGAGTTACCATCTCTGCTTGGGAACATGACTCACCGCAACTCTTTGGTAAGCGCCAGTTCTCCATCCTCGCCTCTATACACYAGTTTTGCCTCTCCAGTAATTTGAGTTTTTACTTTCTTGAGTCTACAGCCTGTTGTGAATGGGAACAGCCAATAAACTCCTGATCCAAGCTCCCCTTTCCATCCAAACATCTACTCTTAAAAGAAGACAGAGAAGTTATTGTTCAAATTATGTCTTYTTTCAATAACAGTAGTCATACAAAAGTGAGGAATTCCTTGAAAATACAAGTAACGTTAGATATTTCCCTAAAGAAAACGGGTCTACAGTAAGATGCTGCATAATGCCATTTTAAAGACACAAAATCTCCTATTGCAAATCTCCTAGTGATTCTCCTACTTGCAAAACCAATTACAAATATATTTAGGAGCAGAGATGAGGGAAGAACATTAATTATTGGAACTGTCCAATAACACTACTACCATTTTTCACATTTGTAACTATCTTAATCTATTTAATCTTTTTATTTAACTGAAAAACCAAATTCAGTCTGAGTAAGAAAGCCCAYCGAGTTCTTCATTCCCTCCCCAATTTAGAAACTTAGTTCAATTTACAACAGAAAATTTTTATGTAAAAATTCACAAGTGACTTAGGGTTTCAGAAAGAAGCTGAGTTCCCTGCAGCTTGGAAGGAGGAAATAATGCTGAAACTTCTCTTCCCTTATTTTGGCAATAGTATAAAAATATTCAATACACAATGAAGTTTAAAAATATATATAAAGCGCAGAGAAAGAAAATTGCCTTGGAATTTTTAGAATACTGGAATACAGATGAACTTCCACCAAAATTCTAGAGGGGAAGCTATTAGAGTATACTGCTAATCAGTAACTTAGCAATATTTGWATCACTTCAGACTATAGGCTTTACAGGGACCCAATTGAGCTTCCATATACATGGCTTGCAATTCACCACATCCRAAGGGCGTAACAAACGCAGTGTTAAAATCTTCTGACTTTGCAGAAGTTCTGCTAGTTTTGGAGGGGAATATACACAACTCAGATGCTCCTTCTTTCTACTCTGAAACGCTCCAGCTTGAATTTCTTTCAAATACATGGAAAATTACCCATACAGCACTAACACATACACTTACATATAAAAATTGACTAATTATAGAAATAAAATGAAAATACCTAACCTCTTTATTTTGTTGTTCGGTAAAGCTCACGAGCTGTAAATTATCTTGGTTTTCATTTTCCTTCAGAACATACAAAACTGTATCCACTGATAACCACTGACAAGATCTTCCTAAAAATACATTAAAAGAAACACACATATTTAATAATTGCAACACACATATTTAATAATTGCATAAATTGATTTTCTTTGAATGCCAAAGGACATCTTTCTATTATAATTAGAACATTTGTCCCTGTTAATGCAAGAAGGGACAAATGCAACGTTTATATGTTACTAGGATGTCTTTCCTAGTTAGACCCATCAACGAAATTATTCCACATATTGTGGCTGTCTTACAGATAACAAATACTACTGGCAGTTCAAATATTAAGTCCTTTGAAAACCAGTGAAGCTATTTTCATTGTTTTCTATTGTATTTATTACTTTTCTTTATAATTGGATGCCTAGATATTTGCAATCAAAGATACTASCAAAAATATACTATAAAATATTGTTAAATTCATTTTGAGTGGAAAACTAGATTATGTTCAAGAAGCAAGAAATACTCAAGATCCAAATCTCTAAAAGATAAGTTTCGATCATTTAAAATAAATAAATAACAAGATGCTGCTATGTGACATCACCAGTTGTTTTCTATTTGTCTTAAGCTGGACTGAAATGGTGGCCTGGTCTTAAATTCTTTGCATAGATATCATTCGAATCTCTGATCTCTTGTAGCTGCTCTGTCCTTGAAGGCAAACAATCAATGAGCTATTTAGTGGTCTTCCAGTTGATCAGTTTACAGCAAAACTATCAATGAACTGTAGAACTTAGTTTTTCTTCAGGTATAAATTCCATGTGAATCAAAGACACTAAAGAGTGGCTACAGACCATACAAATTGTATATGCCTTTGTTAAAATTTTTTGAAAATTTTTGAACTTTCATAAAAGGGTAATTGCTCTACTGATAGATAAATTCTTGCTTTACATACCAGTATTCATAGAATCATAGAATGCTTAAGTTTGGAAGGGACCTCCAGAGGTCATCTAGTCCAACCCTCCTGCACATGCAGGGTCACCCAGAGCACGGGGCACAGGGCTGCATCCAAGCRGGTTTTAAAGATCTCCAGAGAAGTAGACTCCACAACCTCTCTGGGCAGCCTGTGCCAGGGCTCTGTCACCCTCACTGTTAAGATTTTTTTTCTATTATGCCTACTTCTTTAAATAAATACATAAATAAAYAAATGTAAAGATATTTTCATTTCCTGCACTGTAATGTTGMACATAAGAACAATGTTTAAGTAAGAATTTTTAGTCAGAAGAAATATCCGGACTAAACTGCTCCAGAAGTATCCTAAGGCACAGCTTAAGAGAAGAGAAAAAAAAAAAAGAGGAGAAAGAAAAGGGAGGAAAGGAAAGCTACTGGAGGAGTACTGGGATATTCTGTTACTGAAATTTAACAGTCTCAGACCATTTTTCCTTCCCATTAGAAGTCCCCTTGGCCACTTTCTCATTTAATCAGGTGGAAAACACCGACTTTCTGTCAATAATCTGCAGCAAAGATTTTATTCTCAACTTCAGTCAGAATCATCTGTGTCACAAAAGGCAAAAGTTTACTAATCTCAGGTGCATCTAATGCTAGAGATTAATGCATCTATTGTTAGGGATTAGATGCATAAGGATAAAAACGTCAGAAGAATTAAAATGGGCAAATGAAGGTAGAAAATCCTCAGACAAGATTCATAAGTGAAGGGTCAAGATACTCCACTGCCAGTAAAAACATGACCCATATTAAGTATATACAAAAGCACTTGGTGTGCAGAGTACAAGATCTCTCAGGCAGTACTCACAAATTTTTGTATTGTCAATTCCCATAAAATACATCAACACCTTAAAGAGAGATACTGCAAGTAGTGTGAACATTTTTATTTTGGATAAGAAACCCTTAGCAAATCTACAATCAAAAGTATTATCTCCACAATCTTAAAACACTCAATGAAAATGATCACATAAATAACAATTTGAGTTTGGAACACACACTGCAGCACCAAGAATCTAAGAGATTGACTGACTTTGAAAAGACAGATAACGGGCTTAACTGTTTTGCACTGCTCAGGCAGTGAGAACAAGTAGGGTAAGCAGAGAAGGCAGTTTGACAAGTAAATTATATCTTTAATAGGACTCTGTCAACTAAGATAAATCCTATAATATCTAGCTATTTTTTTCTTACCCAGCTATTGTGACAAATAACAGTTTTGATAACTTAASGAAAGGAAGTTTTCTGCTTTTCCATTCGTGTGGCGGGAGGTATGGTCAATATGTAGTTAGTTTCATAGCACTTTTCTTTTGACTTTCTTTTTTCTGTGTGTGTTCACATGTGCATGTATGTGCACATACATATGCATACATGTGCACATACACGTGTGTGTGTGTGCGCGTGTGTATGTGAAATTTACCAGTAGGAGGAAAAAAAGGTGCTTTCTAAAGAAGAAAATTCTCCAAACGAAACCAAATATGCTTACCTTCTACCTGACAAAGGTTTAAAGGCTTGATGGTAATACATACAGCAGACCTCTGAGGTACGTGCAACCTGTATTTGTGGCTAATGATTTCACCATCATCTTCTAAGTAGAAACATCCTTTGGATTGTGCACAGTGCCATTCCTGGAAATCAAGCAAATATTAGAAATTGTCTTGACATTTCATCAGCATCAAAGATTTTTCTCTAGTATGTATTAATCTGGTGATCTAAACTACATCTAGATGAATACTGCATAAAATACATCTTAAAATGCTGCATCAATCTTATCTTTTTAGGAATTCTCTAAAATAGTCCTCTTTTTAGTCAATTTTTGCAGACCAGTTAGTATTATCGCTTCATGTATGAAAATGCTTGGAAACATGYAGATTACCTTAATGCTCATAACTGAAACAAAATTTGAATTGCAATGAATGAAGCTGAACCTGGAAATTCTCAGAACTATGTGATTTAGCACCAAAATAYCGGAATTGGTGCTGTATTAGTCCCATCACACCAATAAAGCTAAGAAAATAACCGATTAGCTCAAACAATAAGGATTTACTTGCTCATGCAAATTACAAACAAAAATGCATGTCAAATTAGCTAACTGCTTAGCATGGTATTTTTAACATCTAGTTCCAAAAAGCTTTTACTTGARTAAAACATTCAAGCATATCCATAAAGCTCAATGGGGTCTCTACACTTTTCTGCCCTGGGKTCTAACAGCATTGTGTTACTAGTGTGAGAAGAATGTGACACGAGTATAATTCACAGTCATTACTCAAGGTCATCCAGAATTTGGCAAATGCTGGTGTGAATCCTTGTTTTAAGAAAGTGATACTTCTCAGCTTCTGTCAAAGCCACATGAAGGACAGAAAGAGTAAATCACACTATTTGTGTATAACAAGGTTCCAAGAAAATCCGTGAGTTTGCAAAGATATTAATACAGCTGCATGGTTGTTTATTTTTCCTCCCAATTTTCTATTTAAAACTTTATTTGGCAAAAAGAGAAACAAAGTCCTTACAAAAATATGCCTTGAGGAGAGTAAAATATTKTTGAATTTGCTTCCCTGGATTAAATCCATTATTTACTCCCATTTACTTCCACATTTACCATCCATTAATCACTTTCCTAAGGAGATGCTGCTCCTGAAAAAAATTCAGATTAATCTTAGCAGAGATCTCTGCTCGGGAGCCTGTACCTTTGCTTAGGGTCCAGTGTAACCTGTAAATTAGCACAGATTTGAGATGAGCTTGTGAAGAGGAAGAGGGGCTGCATGTAACTCCCAGCAAGGAAGATGACCACTAACTCATCCTAAGGCCAAGCAGTCTTCATTTCAAGTCTTCAAGCAGTGCTACAATTCATCCCACATCATTCAAAGGATTGGTTTTCACTACACTGCATTCTCCTCCAGTTGATGGTATTTTGCAGTCACTAACCTAAAGGTGTACTTTATTACTATGGAAAGAGCACTCTGTCCTGTACAAAATGTCAAATGAACAGCAACAATTATTGTAGCCTCAGTTCTCCAATAGATTCGAYAGCTTAGTGCGTCATCCTGATTTACACGGTCCACGGAGTGCAGTTTTGTCCTATTTGCTCATCTTCTGCTTTTTAGTGTTATTCTAGATGAAAGGCAAAAATTATCCTGCACTTTTGCATTCATGTAAGTGATAGATGTACTTAACATAAGGACATAAAACAAGCCAAATAAGAAGCGAAAACATCTCAAGGAACAAAGTCTGTGTTAAGTTGTGACCAACAAAAAGCAGAAGTTGAACAGTGCTTTAGGAATCACATACTAAGTTGTTATTCTTGCAGGGAGCATAAGGTGGTGCTATACTCTCTGAATTATCACTGTCACAATATAAAAGGTATACAATTTGGAAGTCAAAAGAAGATTTTCTGTTTTGAATGTACTATGTTACTTGAATGCATAAAAAAGCATGTGAAATAAAAAGTCATACATTTGTCAAATAACAGCTAACATAATGGGAAATATTCTTATTAGAAATGTTAATTCTGAAGAAAGGGTAGAGGGTAGCTGCTGTTCCCAGTGCTACTTGCTGCCTAAATCCAGTATTCTAATGCTACTAAAAAATCATTATGGGAACTATCCACAGGTTGTTTCTGCACATCTAACATTTACAGAATTGTCTATGTTTTGTCTACTAATTTATTTCCAAGACTTCAAACATGTCGTACAACTTCATTGGAAAAAAATAAATTAATTAAAAAAAAAAAARAGAGAGAGAGAGAACAAATAGGAGACCTGTCTCGTACTTATGAATATTCTGGTTTTAAATTTAGATGCTCATAGTGTTTTGAGTTCAAATATATTTTTCCATCAGAACTGCAACTTCRGCATCAGTTCAAATTCATGATGGTAATATTTTCTTATCCCCAAGAAGCAGTGGAGATCATTTTTTCTGAATATAAGATTAATGAAAAGAATTCCTATGTTGTTGGATCCTGATCCACAGCCTAAATAAACCACTGTGTATCTGTTGATTGATTTTGATGGCGTTTGGGCCTTTAATTTTGATTGTGCCCTTAATAGATAGGGTTGAAAAAATATAGCAGTTCTACTTACATTTATTGACAGATTTAATTTTTTTGTATGATGCTAATCAACAGCAATCAATATCTGCAGTTGCTATCAGCTCTTTACTTGCTTGTAAAAGGAAAGACAGATCCAACACTGGGAAACTGCAGAATGGTTTTATACACTACATTTCATGTTTGAACAAGGTGAAATTGCAGGTTAAATTGCATAGAGGTCCAGATACCTAAACAGACTGCAAAAAAATCCTTTGAGATTATGTTTTAAAATTTTAATATAGAGCAAATGTCACTGTACAGCAATGCTGAAGATATAAAGGACTTCAGAGTTCAATAACAAATAGAGAGTTGTTATTTGAAACAAAAATGTAACTCATGAGAACAATCAGTTCAGTTTTCCAACAGCAGTTACACTATGTGGTCATAACCATTTTTTCCCTTTTACACAGAGGTCTCAAGGTGCACATTTTTAATGTATCCTAGCAGTTTCCAGTTAATGTTTTATATTTCTATAGCTATTATTTTCTGTTGAAAGAAAACTAGTAAAGGTTGAGTCAAGAAAGTAAAAACAAAGGAAAAAGATCAATATTAACACTCTACAAATATTGACTTAGCAAAGTGACTTTGTTGTCTTTCTCCCACAGGAATTTATATTGAATGAGTGATTTATTTAAACCAAAACACCGAGAGAACATATTAGTCTAAATAAAAATCAATATTTTCAGGTTACAGCATATATTTACTAATTAATGCCCAACAAACTGAATATGCTTGGAGTCTGTTATTTATTTCCAATTACCTTTCATATAAAGGTTTATGATACACAATCTTTCAGCTACTTAAGCATTTAAAGTTCTCACCAATCTTATAAATTATTCAATTTTAAATTTCTCAAAAAGTCATTAGACGTCTTATCCAACAGTAGTTTCATTTATTAAAAAAATCTATTAAATCTTCCCACCTGAAAAATTATTTTCATTAACTAAATGTCAGCAAAAATAACAGTATAGAAAAATGTTAATAATAATATGTACCAAGAAATGTCTCTGTAGTGTATACTTGCCCTTGACAAAATATTAATAAAGCATAAGGTAAAAATCAGAGAAAAATGATTTCTTCTTTAAAATGCAATAATATACCTGGGTATGGGAAAACAGCATAATTCAGTAGGACTGTCTTACATAGTACCTTTACTGTGCTTGGCTCAATTAGCTTTGTGCTTCTGTTACGACTGGCACACATGCTGATAGTGGTAGAAACGGATGCTTTGCAAGTTTGAGCTGATGAAGGTCTTGAAGAACTTCTGCTATCCCCTAAAACACAGATATTTAGTTATGATCAGATAATTTCATCTTGTTTCTAGCGCTATTTCTTGTAAAGCCTTACATTTACATGCACACAGAGAAAAAACTGGGATGATAAAAACTTCAGTGAGATAGGTTGTCTTCCCCTGTAATTATTTAATTATTGACTAGCCTAACATTTTTACTTCCCAGCTCTCTCAGTCTTTTCTCATGAGAGAGATGTTCCAGTCCCCTTAWTCATACCTTTCACTGGTGTAAGTTTCTGATCAGTTTTCCTTGAGACTCTTGGTGATGGTTTAGATACTGGCAATGTGATCGCTTCAGAGGAGGTTTCCACTTGACTTCCAAACTGCTGACGTCTCAATCGACTGTCAACTTCCAGTTTCTCCAGTGCAGTCTTGCAGCATTGCTCACTGGTTGTTATGTATAAGTCACAAAACTTTAGACAATAAAAAGCAATCTGGTAAGCAAAACATTCTTCCTCACAGTTTTAAGGATTAAAACATAATTTTAAGTAGAGGATAGAACAGATGGAATTCTTTTTCTCTTAAAGCACAGTATTACTTCCATTTTCATGAATAAGAGTCACCATTCTTAAATGACAGTAAAAGGGAGCCATGATTCAACGGCAACTTTCAGTGCAAGAGATTTATACTTCTTTCTAGACACCTGCAACCTGTTTTGTATGTGTTTTAGGTTTTTTTTTTTTTTTTTCTTTCCCAGTAACACCATACTTACGGCATAAAGCTTTGTGGGCTTTTTACAGTCTAAAACTTAGTCATTGCTTAGAGATGCTGTTACCTTAACACAAAACTGAAAAGAGATTGCATCTTGAAAATTAGATGCTCAACATGTAAAAGAATTTCCCCCACACAGGAAATTACAGACATCACAGTCCTCACAGATTAGCTAAGTCTGTTGTCAATTCTCATCTTTATCCTGTCATTGCTTCAACTCCTGCCTTCATACATGGTTAACAGGCTTCACACTGACTCTGCCTAATACGCACCATTACATAGATCAAAAACCAAACACACAAACAAACACAAATGCTGGTATTATCTGTTGCACTTGATAGCGTCAGTAACACTGACGCTAAGTAACACTAAGAATAGATAATATCACTGTTTTCATACCTTATTATAGTCAAGCTTGCCATTGCTGTTAAAATCAGCCAGTTTAGTAATGGCACTCACTTCATCCACAGTCATTTTTTCACCTCTCTGCAATAAACAACTCAGTTTTAGCTCTTAATCAAGAACTGCATTCACTATTTAGAGTCACCTGACAATGCACAACACTTCTCAATAGCAAATAGAAGAACTGCAGAAGTTTATGTAATTTTTCTGTATCTTAAACCTAATATGGATGCCTTCATCAATACTTCATAATATTTTGTTTCACTTACTCGAACTATCCTATAATGCCTGCAGTGGATCCATCTAAATTAGCAATTTAGTTTTTTGTAAGGGTTATTCTCAGGTGTGAATTTGTCTTGTATTGATGCTTGGAATTACGGCTGTGAAGTGAAAGCTGTTTGAAATGAAAGCTGTTTCCCTCTTGTTGTAATCCACGTTGAAGCCACACACCAAAACCAGCATCTTGAATGCCCTACCTGCACACAAAGAACGTGTCTCAGGAAGAGAGTGCGAGGTTCTGCAGCAATTTCCTCTATGCACATCCACATGGCTGCTAGCAATGACAAGGCAATATGTGACTRCAATCTGCCTCACATCATCTTTCAGCTGTGGATTCATGGTGTATACCTAGGACCAAAAGCTTTATTGCTGGCAAACGTGATGTGGACATATGGTCTTGGGTTCATAATGGTCTGCAACAAATCAAATCCTGGTCCTTCCCTCCTTGCACAGCACCAGTTGCTAATGCAGGCATGTCTAATGAGTTCTTCATTTCAGTCTCTATAAAGTGATGAGCTGACTTAATGCAACATTACTGCATTCATAGTCTACAGTCTATAACTCAAGACATAAAACTGAAAAAAAAAATCATTAATCAGCTATTGACCCTTTTGATCAGGAGGTTTTTATTGATACTTACTGTTGTAAGAATTTTATAAAGTTCATCATGTAAAATATATCCAGAACTACCTTTATCTATTTTTCCAAATGCTCTGAGCAGTTCATTTTTTGTAGYTGCTTTTTCTTTTTTTAAGATAGTGCAAAAATCATCAAAATTCAATGTAGTTGTTTGTGAAGTCCAGTATTTATTAAGTGTTTTCTGAGATGGATTTCTTCCAGCCTGTTGAAGTACTGAACAATAAAACACAATATTAACTACAAATTTAAGCTGTCAGTATCAATAATGAATTTTCTCAAAACATCCTTTAATCACTTCATAAATTCAAACATTTCTTTTAAAAACACGTCAATCTAAGGGAAAAGCAGCYTAGAAAAACAGCTTTGCTCAAGGGGGATATAATCCACTTCAACTAAGAGGTCAGAGCAGTCTGAGGGGTAGAGTCGCTCGCCAGAGTATTTATTTGAAAATACTTATCAAACAGGCAGCACCCACCATTCTAGACCACCCTCCCAAACTACGATCCAGCAGAGATGATAAATGGTGTGGTGCTGAAAATGATGCCCACTTTCTTCTCCTATAGAAAAGGAAGAAATCAGAAAGTAGTCTGTGACTTAATAAAAAATATCACAGACAGTGCTGCAGCTGACTATAATTTTGCTTATTAGCTTTGGTCTGCAGATCTACAGCATTCCCTTACTTTTTTGTTGTCCTACTAAACTCTCTGGTACTATTTCCCCTAAATAAAGTCAGTAGGATTACATCATTAATTAGATAAAATATCTACTGACTTGAAACACAGAATTTCCTCCTCAAGTAGCAAGTGTGTGTCAGGCTTAATATCAAGAACCTATTGCTTTGTCAGTGTGGAAAAGGTTTGGTGTTAAATTGAAATTATATTCAAATAGCCTATCAGAAACAGTCCGAGGAGATGCCCATAAATCCTTCCTGATAATCGAGCATTTTAGGGAAATTACAGAAATTCTTCATCTTTGCCTAGGTTGGCGGTTTGATTTTTAGCCAGCTGACCAATGGCCAAATCTATACCAGCTGAGAGCAGTTCAGTAGCATCTGTGAAATGAGGTCGTGGTACCATTACAATCCTCAACAGGCAACTGTGTCACCATAAAAACAAACACACAAAAGCAGACACCTTTGTTGCTAATCTCAGATGAAACGCCAAGGACTAAATAAAGATTTCTGCCCTATCACCTCTGCAAGCTCAGTTGGGAGAACAGAGCAAAGCCTACATCTTCCTCCATGTGACACCTGGGCACACAGCAATTGTTCAAGGATTTCTGTGTCAAGGTCAGCCAAGGAAAGGTAGTTACTCCATGTGTTTGGTTATCTGGATAGCAAAGTTTCCTGGAATGTTGATATAACAAAGTATTTTCTTACACCTATCAGAATTTCTTTCAAATACAGCATTTCTATAATTTTATATACCTTGGGAGAACAGCTCTTGCTATACAACACATCTCCTGAGCTTGTATTTTTGAAAGTTCAGTTAGACTGCATTTTATTTATACTTACTCTGCTAAATACTTTAAATAACATTACAAGAAAAGAAATAAAAATTTCTGTGAGTTAGCGCAATTCCTGCTCTAAGGTAAAATATCACAGGGTCAATCTAAGGGAGTATTGCACAATTCGGCTTATTAGCCAGCCATAATGTAACCAAACATGCTTCAACACGGACACCATTCCATACTGTGTCAGCACGTATTTAAGTTGCAACATAAATCTTGTTTTACTCTTAATGTTTGCAAGTTTAAAAGAAATAAGTTCACACACATCTCTGAAAACACTGGTAGCCTGAGCCACTAGTGGCCCTTTTTAAGTTGACCTTGAAACGAAAATGCTCAAACACTTGCTGTGCACCAAAGCGGCATGTGGATAGAGATGAAAGATGAAGCATATATAAAAGAGATGCCATTTGTTCACACCACTCCTATTTTAAAATCCAGATTATCCAAAACTATCACTAGGATGTTATAAAGACATTTTTATTATACTCCAGAAAGCCTGGATAACACCAAGTCCCAAGTTGAAAGAGTRTGCTTGCTAAAGCATAGGATTCCATGTCCCTGGAATGAGGAAGGAAGCTACAAACCTCAGTGCATCCGAAAAGTATATTCAGCTTTTTATGGCTGAGTCTTTCAGTACAGTGCTCTCAAGTCTTTTAGGCATGAACAATGCAGCAATTAGTAAAAACTATTTGTTCTCATATTCATAGAAAAAAAATGTGTCTATTATAACTGTGAACTAACTAAACGATTTGGTGGCATATTTTTGGTTTTAGTTGTTGCTTGTTTTTTTGAAAACAACTAATTAATCAAATAACTAATGATTAATCTGCAATTCCGTAATACATAAAGATAATCTAACAGGAATGCCAGATAYCACTTTAGAAAGCAATGTGTAACATCACTACTTTTAAGTGAATTGTGAGCTGGACTGTGAAACTCTAGGATCAAAATAAAAATCACATTTTTTTTAAATGATGCATTTAGATTCTTTTTGTCTAACTGAATGATTATATTCTTAGGCTTTCTTTGTCGACCATATGAGCTGGAAACATTTTTTATTTTCCAATATAGCAAGCTAGAACTTTCACATAATCACAAAACTCCAGGTAAAAAATTATATTGAAAGACACCTCATGGGTAACCTAATAAAATCTCATAATATTGTGTTCAACTATGAATAATCTTTTTCATAAAAGGTCATAAAGGAAAAAACGTGCATATATATATGTTAAGATAAATTATACAATTCTTACAACTCGAAGAGTTAGCAAAGCTGATGTTACATTTGCTTGAGAAATTTTAGTTGGGATAGTGAAATCTATTTCACAAATGAAACTTACACAGTTAGTAAAATATGTGACTAATTAAAACAATAAATAAATTATTCTCCAGTATACAGCTCTAGATACCTTTTTTTTTTTTCAGGTAAACTGTTTTATAATTTTCCTTAATAATTCCCATGCAAGGAACTTTGACATTTAATATTTTTTCAAAACATTTTTTTCTAAGTTCCACAGCTTCTAAAGGTTTTGTATACACTAAAGCATTTATTTACCAGAACTGAAGCATTCAGTAATTTTTCTTCTGTCATACTACTGACAACGATATCTCTTATATGCAAATATAATACTGAGTAAAAAATGGAAACTTTTGATCTCCATCTAGGAGAACAGCTTAATTCAGTGACAATTTAAATAAGTCTTATGAAACACAAATGTCTGAAAGTGTCCATTTTATCATACAAACTCAGTATAGAAAAGGCAATACTTTCACACATTTCTCAGATAAAGCGGCTAAGCACTGCTCTGTGAGACAATCTTTAGAGGAGGTAAACGACCATACCCAGGTCTCCAATAAAAACCTCCTTCCAAGTCTGCAAACCTCCATATCAAGTGATGCCAGTTACCATGGTGATTTGCTAAGCAGGGGCACTTGTCCACTATAAACTGCCTGAGACCAACTCACTAAATCATTTGTCAGAGACAGGAGAAAAATTTATTGCAGAAATGTCACAGCCAAAAAGCAGTACTTAAGCCCACCTCAAGTAAGCAACAATGCTACCACCAAACTTGGTGTTGTTAAACAACTCACTTAGGTCCCTGTAAGCTGTCAGCTAGTATTGACTTTTGCCCATTCAGACTAGTGATTTAGAGACGAAAAGCCCTGTACACTATTCCCAATTCCATGAACCATCCAGCACCTAATAACAAAGATAAGGAATGTAAGGAAAATGAAAAATCTGGAGGAATGGTACTTTCTATAACCTGAAAAATCAGTGTGTCATATATTTTTAAATGGGTATGAGATGCAAACATATACAGCTAACAACGCCTGAATGCCTAAACCAAACCTAAAACTACTCAAGTCCTTAAAACAGCTAGAGTCGTGCACATTAGGATATTCTCACTATTGAATTGCTGACTGCTGTTTAATTACCTACTGTAATCATCACATACAATAGTTAAGAGAAAAAAAAAACCTACTCATTACCTAAACAGAGTTGTTCTTTTGATTTAATATTTTCTAAACTGCTTTTAAAAACAGTTAGATAAGCTGCTCTGCAATTCATATAAAAGATTTCTTCTTCTGAATGCTGGGACTTCTTTACTCGAGAATTTTCCGATTGTGTGGCTTTCTGTACAGACGAGGACACATTATTCCCAAGACCACTGGCCATTCTGTGAAGAATACAAACACATTTAGAATTTGTTACTCTTCTGCCTGGTTACTAATGTCTCTCTGCATTGTTCTCCGAAGCATAAACCTACCTTAACCTCTAGGTTGCATTCTTCCCATTCCCTTAATCTGGGATAAGGATACTTACCTTCTTTTGTGTTTAATTACCACAAGTCCCACACAAGAAAATAACTTGAACTCTAATTGTGAAGTTAAACACAATGTTACTTTTAAGATTTAAGTCAGATTAATAGAACTAAGAAGTTTAAAGTCAACCTTTGCAAAACTTAGGACCTTAAGGCACAAGGACACTACAAGGAAAACTTTAAAAGAAAGAATAAAAAAAATGTATTTTTTCTAAATTATTGAAATGATTCAGTGCAGTAACTAACGCTGTTTGCTCACAAACGACCAGTAAACTTCAACAGTAGCTTTCTGCTTTTACCAAAGGTGATTAAGGTTTTTAGAGGGCCACCACAGAGGGACACTAAATCGTGTGGTACTGTTGGTCTAACAGCCCCTCATATTATTTTACCCAATGTTGACTTCACAAAATATATTCCAGTACAGCAAATTAAATATCTCAAGTTCAGCAACAAGACAACGACATCATAGGGTCCCCTTCAGGACTCATTGGATTCCTACTCGGGAGGCCTAAATCACTCGCACCTTCTTGAGTTATATAGGTCTTTTACACTTGGGAAAGAAAGATAATAATCGCTTATCATGGATGAAGTACCCTATTTATAATACACAGACCGCCTGCCTGACACTTTAATATTACACTGGCATTAGAAGGACCCCATAGGGACACTGCGATACAGTCTGGTTCCTGCAAACGAGTGTCACTATAATTAAGCACCAGCGTTACACTCACAAAATGAGAATGGGTTAAAGTCAAGGAGGAAAAGAAGAATAAATGTTAATTTTCCAGTAACTAGTTTATAAAATGTGAACTCTCGTTTACACTCCTTAGACTTCCCATTACGAAGACATTTCTTATGCTGGCTACACTTCTGCCAAGAATTGCTGCTATTACATTGAACAGACAACCAGTGAGCGATAGCTTAGTAATAGCCCTACTCGCAGCCCCCTGGCTTGGGTCATTTTAAAAATCTTGACTGGACAAATGAAGCTTTAGACAAAACAGACAGTGGGGAGCAATCCAGCCTTGGCTGAAGCATGAGGAAAACACGGCCTAACTGCTACTCCCAGCTCTATTTCCTGTGGTTTCAACACACAAAAATCACCTTCCAAGTGGGAATTCAGTGGTGCTCTCCCTGACAAGATTGCCTTTCCTGTCACAGGTTCAAGGCTGGGACTCACCTCCAGCCATAGTAAACAGCACATCATTTGGAAAGTTTCCTGCTATTTACAAGTTTAAGTCCCAAATCCTCAAGCTTCACTCACCTGCCATGAGGAAGCTCTCTCAACACACAAAATTTTATCATCTCACTSTCTAGCTAATGCAGGAATCTTGGGCTGGATTTACAGTCCAACAGTACAAGAGACATTAAAAAGACTTTTATTTTCCTCCTCCCAACTCTCCCCTCCACTTCCAAAAGGGATCAAGCCGCCGCTCTGGGGACTCCCCAGCTCACTTAGTAGCGAACCTCACCTCGGGCCCGCGCTGGCTCCGCACGAACCTTCCTGCGGCGGCGAAGGGAGACGGGCCCGGCTCCCCGGCCTCGCGCAACGCCGAGTGCGGGGACAGCGGGGCCCGCGCAGCAGCCGCCCGAGCCGCAGGCCGCAGGGACGCCAGCCCCGCCGCTACCGCTACCGCTACCGCTACCGCCGCCGCGGCGCTCGGCCCGCCCTCCCGGGGCCGCGGCCCGCCCTCGCCGCGCCGTTTCCAGCCGGCGGCGTTTGGCCGCTGCACGGCGGCGGCGCTGGGCGGGAAATCTGCAAGGCGGCGGCGGCGGCGGCGGCTCAAGGCAGCGCTATGTCGTAAGTGCCGGGCAGGGGCTCCGCTTGCAGCCCCTTCCCTCGCGGCCGCGGCCCCTGAAGGGAGCGCGAGCGGCCGTTGGAGCGCGCGCGACCGTTGGGCGACCGTTGGCGGGGGGAGGGAGAGGGGGAGCGGGCAGCCGTTGGCGCGAGGGCCGCTGTGAGGCTCTGAGGGAGGGAGGATATTTTATTTTATTTATCTTGTTTTCCTCACTTTTTTTTTCCTTCTTTTTCATTTTCCTTGGGCCCCAGGAAATTTTGAACGTGAGGGTTTCGCAGGACAGGACCTTGCCTCAGTGGAGTTTGGTGGCTTTGGGATGGGTGAACTCATAGTCTGTCCTCTGCTTGCCCACCTTCCTCCTTATCTTATTTGTTCATCTCCACATGAGTGCGAAGCCCACGAGCACTGGTGGTAGGGGCTGACAAAGGGGTAGAAGTCGCTTGGTGTAGGTGGCTTGTGCTGAATTAACGCTTGGGGTTTGTGCTGTTTTCCACTTATTGTGTCCATTTTCCGTTAGATTTGCCTACTCAAATAGTACTCTATTTGGCTATACTCTCTTATTATCACTCTTATTCTTTGCAATTTATAAAGCGATGGGCTGAATAAAAGACTAGTGCTATTTCTGTTTATCTTTGTYCTTTGTGGAATTATGAAGAACAACAACAAAACTGTGTAGGGCTAATTTCAGCCCTACAAGTGAGGCCGTGAGTACCCCCCTGCCATCTGTGCCTAGATTTAGGCTATTTACATCCTCTTATGCAGCTTCAAAGATAACTGTTATGTTAGATTTAAGGTAGTTTCCAAGTTCTGCCAGTCTTTCTCTTGGTCATTTGAAATTAACCGTGCCAGAGAGTAGTTATGCAAGGTTTCTTATGTAAAACATGAGCTTTGATTTTTTTTTTCAAGTCTGTTTCCTGTTAGTTGTTTGTTGAGCTTAATTAGTATTTAATCTGAATGTGGGAAATAACTGCATATACTTTCTGTTTTTCCAATTAATGGAATGTTTTTTGCTACAATTTTGAAGTTAAATCAATACAAAAGTAGCATAGCGTTATTTTTCCAGTGATCACAGAAGCTTAAGAGGAAATTAACTGAAGGGCCCTCAAAATGCATTGCAATAATCCCTTATGTATTTTTAATGAGAGGGAATATAACCAAATTGCTGACTCAGGTATTCTTTTTGCGTGTGATGGGAACCTGCTACACCTGTGTGCAACTGTTTCCATTCCATTCATTCATAAGTGAATTATGAAGGAGGTAAAGTCACAGATATATGTAGAGTTAAAAAGTATCTATATAAATTCTGTTTCCATAGAGAAAGTTAAATTGCACACCTAGACTCTCATTGCTGAGTAGTTTCTTGGATAAGTTGTTTCATCTAAACACTCGTCAGGTGAGTAAAGATCTACCAGAATCAGTAAAAGACTGACAGTGTGGCCCACAGTGTTAGATTAACAATATGCTATACCAATTGTATGCATTCTTTTAATATGATAAATATTATGGGCAAAATGCTCATTGTTGGGATATGCAGCAGGCTTTAGAGGTGTACCATCATACTTTGCATAGTCAAGAAAAAAAAAAAAAAGTAGGGACTTTTTGAACTGATTTATAGGTAGGAAAAATAGATAAGCAACTTCCACCTTTCTGTTTCCTTCTCTTATTCCAATTTTCACCTTTGATTCTACTCCAGACCCCTTGTAAGGCTTGTGAAAACTAAACTGAATCTGGGGCTCTTCCTCATTGCACTTTCTAAAATATTTTAGAAACTTTGCTCATACTGTAGATGCATGTGTAGGTTTTTCTCCATGTTATCTTTAGACAGATCTGAGAGAAAAGCCTTTGGTCAACTGAGTCTTCCTGTTAGATGCCTGTATGAGTTGTGTTCCATTGGTTTCAGCCAGGGAGCAAGTGTAGATGGAAAGAGCACAAAAGTTAACTTATTTTGAGTGATTGACAGGTCCCTAGAGATTTTCCTGCTCACAGAAGAGGTAACTTGTAATAGCCCAGGAGCAAATAAGACAACTGAGTTGGATGGAATCCATCTCTTCCTCTGGAGAAATTGGGGTTAAGTCAACTTCATAAAGCACAAACTGCCCCCTCTGCAGCTCTTTCCCATGGTGAGGTATTTGCCTACAACAAGGCTGCCCTTGGCCCAAGTATTTGCAGTGGTTTTGCAGGCCAGCAGAGGGAAATCTGGGCTCTCTGCAGCTTCACTGCCTAACCCAATATTTGACAGACTTGAAATAACAATCTTGACCACTCCACATTTTTTTTCCCTAAGACTTTTTCTAAATGTTTATAATTTAGTCAGATTTTCATGTAGTTTCTCGTATATCTTCATCCTAAAGCTATGTTGAGACCCAGATTCTGCTTTACTTTGGCTTCCAGCTTCTTTGAGGTCCATCATAAAAACTTCCATCATAACATGCCTTAGTATAACATGCAAATGCATTGGCCCCTGGAGCACCCTTGCAGAGTAGGTGTTTTAATAAATATAATGTTTCTCTGCTGCCACTGGGGTGGAAGATGTAATGGAGTCTGCATTCCTTAAGCAATATGAGTTGCTGTTTAAAAAAAGAAATACACTATAAAGAATTCCATCAAACTGTTACAGCTTTAACTGCTCTTTGGCAAGAAATCCAGTTGCTTTTTTTGTATAGGAAAATTAAATGTTACCTGTTTACTTGGCTATTTTGTGAGATTTTTAAATCCCTTTTAAAAATAGATAATGCCATCCTCCTTTTAATAATTGTAAAAACATTTGCCCATAACACCATTTCCTACATTATATTTCAAAGATGTATTTTCATTCTATTTTTTTTTAATGCTTTATTTCACACTTTTGGAATAATAAAATAAATTAAAAGAGGATGTTTATGGAATGAGCTCAACAATTACTATGGGACAAAACATTCTTTTCTGAGATGAAAACTGAACTGAGTTCTAGAAATATGATGTGTTATATGTATTTAATGGAGACTGTCTTTATAAAGACTTTGGCTCCTCATTTTATAAAATGCTTAAAACTGTTGTTAAGATTTAAGAATGTGCTTAAAAAGTTTCCGTTGTCTCTGGGAAAAATAGTCTTAATTTATGTTGACCTTTCTTTCCTTTGAGTATTTAGTCTGCATTCAATAAAATTTTGATGACTGCTCTTTAGAAGACAGCTGTACGATATAAAGTATTATAAATATTCAGCTTTCCTCTCCTAGCGTTGCCATTAACAGCTGGGCATCCAGTTCAGCAGAGCAGATTTTGCAGAGAGAGCTTGGCATGTTCCTGAATCAGTATAGTGAAGAAGACTAGAAACTATTTTCTAATGGTTTGGGGACCTGTAAAGACATAGAGCATCTGTTCCCCAGTTAAGTCATAGCCTGGTAGCACTGAATCATGTTAAGAGCTAAAATGATGGGAAGAACTACTTTTTTCACCTTGGCTGTACCTGAGTTTTAAATGCCTAATACATTATTTCTGCTAATAGCAAAATAATTTCAACACTTGCTCAGAAGGTATGTAAAAGATAATTATCTTGTTTTTCTTTATTTTTTTATCTGTAGTCTTTGAGAAAGAGAGAAATATACATTTTAATAGAGTCCTGTGCAATTTCCCTTCAGTGTCTTCTTTTTATTTGTGGTATAAAGAATTGGATTTTCTTATGCAAACACTTTACCCTTCTAAATAAGCAATGTTTTTATTATGTAGTATTTAAACTAGTTACGTATTTGCTTTAGATGACATTAGTTTTCTTATATACTATAAAAAATGTAATGCATGTATGAGAAGGATAAATGACTTTACTGATTATAGACCTTACCACCAGAAGTCTTTGTGCCTAGGTGTTCATAAAACTTGTCCATATCTTTCTCTTGTAGAGTTAAGAGAGCACTGAAGTTGGACACTATTAAAAAAGATAATGTGAGTATTTTGTGTATGGGATCATCTGGGGAGCTGTATATATATGTATATATATTTAGAGAGAGAAAATGATATTTCATTAGAACCATGTTTATAGTGTCACAGATTGGATGTTGTCTAGAAAAATCTCAGCAAGGCACAAAATTATCGCTGAAAATCTTAGAATAAAATTTATCATGTTCCATTTGTCATAGAATTGCCTGGCTTTAAATAATGTGTGTTTGCGCGAGTGGGTTGAAAGTAACAGGAGAAATATGCATGCTTTTATTACCTTCACTATTTACCCAAGAGCTGAATGAGTTAGGATCCTTCATGAAATCATTTATTAGAAATTAGCTCTATTATACTGGAAGCAAATGTTCTGTCATGTAATTGTACATGTAACAATATGGAATTATGATAATGCTGTAATCTGCATATTATAAACTCCAAAATTGAAATGAAAACATTAAAGGCATTTTCATGACAAGGATATAATTACCTCCCTCAGCTAGTCTGACATAATGGAACAATAAAATGCTAACACTGCCATGAATTTCACCACAGTTATCACAATAAAAATAAAATTGTACTGTTGCTATTATTTTTTGTAAATGCAGCTATACTATGCTCCCAGTACCCGCATGTCGTGACATATGTCAGTTTATTATCCACTCCTATCAACAGTGGGTGTTGCTGCAAACACCCAGACAGAGGAGCTTGTAGTGTTTAAGGGAAGGAAAAAATTGGAAGAGCATATCAAGAGAAATAGCTAGTCAGTAAATGAGTTTCCAATAAATCTCCACATCTATGTCATTTTAGAGAGATTTGTTTATATGCAGTACCTATTTGGAGGTCTCTCTGGGTATTTAACAAACTAGAAATTTGCAATTTAAAAAATTTGCTACTTTTTTTTTTATTTAAACGAAAGTAGCGAAATACCGCAGTGGCACTAAAAAAAATCATTAAGAATTTAATTAGCAGCTTAGTGTACTATTACCCAACTTGTTCTGCTCAGAATGCAGCTGTGACTGTAATTTTGCATCTGTTTCTCAGGTTCTGGTAATATTTTTGTAGATGAGTGGTCCAGCTGAAATTACACCCTTTTTTTTTCTTCCTTAAATCTATTTCTCTTTCTTCTTCCCTTGCCTTCTTCTCCCCGCTCCACCAAATACTCTGAAATTTTGGCAAGGCCAAGAGCAAGGCTGCAACAAAAACAATCTTCACTTAGATTATAAGAATATGTGTATTTATGTGGAAATAGGGGAAAAATGCAGTATTATGTTTCAGGGCTTCAGGACATTTATATCAACTGCTAACTGTTGGAAATTAAGCAGAAAACTTCTCTGAGTTACATAGTAGTCCATTATACTTGTTAGTGCAATTCATATTCCTAGTTTTATATTTACTACCTCTGTAATGTATACCTTTAGGAACTTCCTTTTCATTATAATATCTCATCAGCTTAATTATATAAAATTAATATTTTCTGTCAGTAATTTATGAAGCAATTAAATGTAATTTCTAGGACTTGGGTTTTTAGTGAGTTGCAGCAGCTTCAACAGAGTTTTCACCTCTGTGTTTGCAGCTTTGGAATCTGAATTTGATCCCGATATGACTCAAGACTCTCACAAGTCTTGCCTAGTGAATCTCATTATTGCTATTAAAAAAAAAAAAAAATGTTTCTTCCACCTGGCCACCATGCTTCTGCTTTTGAAATCTCAAATTGCTATAGTTAAACTTTCCAGGTTGATGTTTGTGAGAGATGTCAACCTGTGAAGGAACCTATGAGAATTTTCTTTCCATGCTGTGCAGTATTCTTGACTCATTGGCTCACAAACAAGGCCCCAGTACAGTCTTCTCCCAAATTATGCAAGCAATTCCTGTGGTGAGAAATCCTAGTTAGGCTTGAATTTAAAAAATATTTTCCTTTTGTTTTATCTGGTTTAAAGAAAAAGAAGTAGTATGAGGCTCTTTCTCGAGCAAAACAGGACAACACATGAGTATGAAAGGGGAATGCGTGGGTAATTTGACATTGCAGAGAAAATGACCATAAACAAAACAGAAATAACAATTTGCTTATTTTTTTTGACTTGGCTTCCAAATGTTTTCTTTGATGAATATGAAGTGAGGATCTGGATTTTATGTTTTACTCATGACATTGAAATGGTATAAGTAGAACCTACTACATTGTTTTCTGACAATATATGAATTTTAAAGAGATTATAGATTAATCATATTTAATAAAGCTTACAGTGAATAACTATATGCAATTCAGTGACAGTTGTGAGTGACGTGAAGAAGACAAGTGATACATAATCAATTTTATAGAGCTCTGAGAGAAAATTCTCTGCTTTAGGAAGACCAGTCTTGTATGGAAGCCACAGGTTATTTGCCTGGTGATTGATCTCCTTGAAATGAAAAAGTTGGGCAGAAGGAGAATGTTGCCATTTGTCAAGCTTGTTATCAGTTGAATATTTCTGCCCATTTGTTTAATTTTTAAATCAGCTGGTATCATTATTCCTTTCAGTCTAGGTCTGGTAGTATGTGTATTGCTTAATATTTAAAGTTGATTTACATGTAAGCCCACCTGGTCACTAGATCGGCAGTTTCTGAGAGTGTAAGGTGCTGCTGACCCCACTGGAGTCACCTCTGCGTGCTACATGTGTTCCGTTTTTCTGGGCTTTGCCTTTTTCGTATGGTCGTTAATGATGTTACTTAAAACCCCTAGACTTTCCTGGAGGAAAGCAAGTTGGTGCTCGAATTGTTGCTCTTGATGTGCAGACAAATGTTTTCCTGAGTGTTATTGTAACAAAATTAGTTTWTCAGAGTTGCAATTCAGCAGCCAGTCTATGGAGTAAACTGTGTTCCAGAGAAGCCAAGTTAATATTTTAGAAATATAGACTTGTGGTTTTTTTTCTGAAATAACTTCTCTGTGTAATCCTTTTATGTCGCTAGAGACACTGAAATCTTGAAATAGAGAGGGGAGAAGTGGTGTTTTTAATCAACTCTTCGCGGGAGAGACTAATTAAGCTTTGTTTAGAAAATCATTCTAATAAGTATTATTAGTTATATTCATTACATAATTTGTACTATTAATTATAATAATTATCACATGATAGAATTAAAATCTAAAGATGCTTGTAGTTGATTTTTCAGGAGTCACATTTCAACACTGTGGGGAAAAATAAAGCTTTTTTTTTTTCTTTTTTTTTCTTTTTTTTTGTTTTTTTAATTACTACTTTTCCAGAAAGTATTTTTGTCAGAATACCTAATCTCTGGAAGCTACTTTAAAATACATACATATATATATACACACATATATACATACATATACATACATATATATACATATATATACACATACATATACATATATACACACACATATATAAATAAAAAATATATATACACACACACATATACACATACATACATATGTATTTATATATATATATTTGACTTGGGAAGCTATAGATTGAATGGCTTAATTTTTGTGTAAAACTAATTTCATATTTGTATGTACATTCAGAAAATGGAAGTACATAAAGTTAGGAATTATTTGGACAAAATATTACCAAATAAATATTAAGAGAGGCTTTGACTAGTTTGGTTTCAACACATAAACCTTCTTTTAGGGAGGGTGAAAATCAAAATGTATTTGTTTGCAAAAGGACAGCTTATAAACATTGTAGGCACAAGGGATATGGATGGTCTGTTTTCTTTAGCCAGTATTAACCTGGATTATTTTACTGCATTGTAGGTATCTGAAGCAACGCCCTTGAAGACCAAAAAGAAGAATCTGAATTCCTACTCTCCAACAACAGGAACATGCCAAATGAGTCCATTTTCATCTCCCACAAGTCATAATGTACAAAATCTCAAAAATGGTCCATCAAATGGTTAGTTGAACATTCTGGCTTTCTTACTGCAACACTTTTCTGGTTATTGGCTTGGTTTAGTAATTTATGTCTCATATAGTATATTTGATTTCTTGTTCCTCTTAAAGAATTTACATCTTTTGTGGTAAAGCTAGTGGTGATCTTTAGATCTCCTGTATTTTGACTATGGTTTTTTTTTTTGCGGGGTGGGTTAATGATCACTGTGAAACAAGTTTTGCCTTATGTTGATCCAAGTCAAAGTATTTTGTATGACTTTGGCTGAGGGAAAACAAACAAAAAAATCTGCAACTGGCRTTTTTGCCGATAATTATATCAATGCCTTAGAAGTTCGGCATGTTTATGCTAACAATGTCCTACTGATAACTTGCTGGGTTTTTTTGTTGGACATGTCTCCATTCATTTACACAGTCATGATTTTAATATAAATAAACTGATTTTTTTTAGAAATATTTCTTCAGTAGATCATACTTGCTTTTATATAGACATAGGTTATTTTTTTTAAGGGCTAAGAAACCATTAGATCATCTGGTGTGACTTTATTCAATAAAAAGAAAAAACAATCTTTCTCTGCCCARTATCATTTGCTTTATAGAAAATGGTTAAATCTTGATTTGAAGGCTTTGAAAGACTAAAAATATCCATCACTTCCCTTGTTAGTAAGTTTTTTGTTTAATTGCCTTCATTATATAAAAAAAAACCCTATATATATATATATATAGAATTATATATATTCTCCTGTCTTACTTGAATTTGTCTAATTTTCAGCTATCAGTTCTTATTATGCCTTTTTGTTGGGTTAAGGAGCTCTTTATGCCCCATATATTTTGGAATTTATGTGCAGTAATTGAGTTTCACTAACATTCATGAATTATGATGAGTAGAAATATTCTGAGCAGGATAGAATAACCCCTATTTGAAATTTATCTAGATATCTGGAAATTTTTGCACTAGGTGTTGCATGATATTCTCCCATAATGGATCTGCAAAAATGAGTACTTTGGGAAGTGGGGGAGGATTTCTTGTGTTTTAGTTCTTTTTTTTTTCATAAAATTGGGATTTTTTTTAAAGGAATGCAAATCAGATTAAAAGAAATGTATTCAAGAAATGTTGGGATCTGTCAAAACTGGTCAAACTAAAAAGGAAATTACTTGAAGCTTGCAAGTTATAAATACTAGAATCTGAGAGCTTCTCATCCTTTTCCTTATTAAAAATAGCAGACTATTGGGGAAAGCATTGAAACATCAGGTGTTTTTTGCTATTATAGCTGCATTTTTTTTCTGATTAGTGGTCATGATAGTAAATGATAGTAAGCAGGAAATGTTCTACTTTTTATTGTACTGCCATTTTTCCTTTTAACCTGTCTTTGTGTGTTCCTGTTTGTTAAGCACTTCTAACTGGAGAGTTACGTACTCCTTACAGTTCAAATCAAGTTAGTTAGCAGTCTAACCCCACTGTTTTTCAAGCTCTTCTAACTGTGGAAAACAACTCTTCTATTGACCAGTGTGGTGACTTAGTTTGTAAGGGAACTTTCAGTTTTGACATGTAAATTTACATCTACTTTGTTTTTTCTGCAAAGAAAAGGGTATTTTCAAAGTATTTCCAGGTCGGAAGTCTAGGACGGTCTCTTCATAAGTAATGAGATTTTGTATTTCCAGCCTCAAGATTTGAAAGTATTTCCTGAGTGGCCTGAGAAACCTATGGTTTGTGGTTATTGTTTGTTTTTACCCACATCCCTTGCTAAACATGTATTTCTGTTCATCTTGTACAAAGAAACGCTTCAAAACGGAAGGTTGTCAAGCAATTTCTCTAGTAAATCAGAGATAGGGCTCTTGTTAGCCCTATCAGTTAATATGCCCACACTGGCATCAGTGATGTCACAGGTCAGTTCTTTTCCCTAATTTGGTTTATTATTTTGTCATGATGAGACATGACAAAATGTCATATAATCTGACTGTATTTCCATACTGAAATTAAGTATGGACATAAGGGAGTGTTCTTTTTGCCTATAAAAAGACAGATCATGTGTTCATAGCTGACATTTAGATGGGTAATTATTTGGTAATATAGCTGTAGCCATGTGTCTTCCTCTGTTCGTATAGCTAGAAGATGGTGGTATGGACTTTCTCTCATATCACAGATTTCAAGCTGTTCTTTAAACCCACTATTTCACTTCTCCTTCTGAAAAAAAAAAACACTTTTATTTCAAGTATTCAGATATTTTAATGGATGATGCATAAGGTGATAGCCATTTCTTCTGTTTTTCTGTGATCGGTATGTTAGAACACAACAGAACAAGACCTTCTTGCAAATGAGCACCCTTAGCTATAAAGACTTATTTTACAGTGTGTGAAGTATGCAAAGTTGCATGTGTAAATGTGCTCTCTTTGAGGAGACAGATGGAAGTTACCTGTCTTATGAACATGACTTTTTTTTTGAATAATGGTATGCAGAAGTGCTTCAAAGAAGACTAAATAGCCAGACAATGCTAAGATTGTTCAAAAATAAACACTTATTTTACAGGAAGACATGAACCACCCCTATTGTAAGACAGTTTGCCTTTATGGTGTTGCACTGTCTTGTTGAGCTGCCTGATAATTTGTATATTCATTGGAAAAGTACCCAGAATCCTATAACCCATTTATTTCATAAATTTTTAAAATAACAGACTATTAAATCTTCACCAGTTCCTCACCATTGTTGGCTGGTATATTTTTAAGATTTATTTTAAATGAATTTACTTATATCCAAATCAATCTAGGAGTCTGCCCTTCCATAGTACTGGTCTAACAGCAATTTCGGTTGGATAATTGATGGCTGATTTAAATGCAAGTTCTAGCGTACTTAGATTTAAAATGAAATCTTTCGAGGTCTTAACCTTTAGCTACTATAGTGGAACAGCTTAAACTTTTATAGCACCTTGTCATTCTGAGAAATTTCTAAACGTTTTACAAAATATTAAAATTAAAACTTAATCCATCCTTGAATGCTGATACTTGTATGTAATAACTTGAATCTAGCAAGAAGAACTCTGAGCTTAATACTTTGTGTAGTCTCTCTTTTTCAGTCTGGTGTTACAAAGGAGGCATATTACTGGGAAGGGTGGAAAGCACCTCACTGCAGAGTCTGTTCTAAATTGATGCATTTATTAAGTACCCAATTAAGACCTGTTGTAGTTCCCTCCAAGTCTTTCCCATCGGGCTGCATTTCAGTTTACAACTGGCTCCACTTGACGTGTTGAAAGGGGACCACATAGATTGTGTGAAGCAGAACACCCTCAATAGTTAGAGCTACACTAGTTCCAATAGATTCATCACAGACTTCTGGACTGTGGGCTCCTATCAAGTTTTCATTAATCATTCTTAATGAATCAATCTTTCATTATTCATTCTTAATGAATCAATCTTTCATTAATCCACCAAGCTGGGTGGAGTGGCCGACACTCCGGAGGGCTGTGCTGCCATCCAGAGGGACCTGGACAGGCTGGTGAGTTGGGCAGAGAGGAACCTCATGAGGTTCAATTAGGATAAGTGCAGGGTCCTTCACCTGGGGAGGAATAACCCCAGGCATCAGTACAGATTAGGGGTGGACCTGCTGGAAAGCACCTCCACGGAGAGGGACCTGGGAGTCCTGGTTGACACTACGTTAACCATGAGTGAGCAGTGTGCCCTCGTGGCCAAGAAGGCCA